AGTTACTTGTAAATAGTTTATGAACGTCAGTATTTTTACATCTGTTGTCCCTCTACATTCTTATTGTTACAGGTGATGTATATACCTCTTAAATGGTAGTGTGCCACCTTATTAACATGTTCACTCAATACAGGGAGAGCTGCCTTGTTCCAAGGTACATGTATGTCAATGCTTTAATAGACCCAGCAGTTGGATAGCTAGGTGTCCAGTATTTTCCTGGTACACAGTGCTTCAGTAAACATCCATGTTCTTGCATAACCTTACACTAGGGTATAAGATTACCTGTGGGTTATCTTAGGAAGTGGATTGCTGGATCAAAGGTTCTGTGTTCCTTGGTAGATATTGTTATATTGCTCTCTCAGGGTTTGTGTCCATTTTACTCTCACCAGCAACAGGTACCTATTTGCTCATAGTCAAAACGGGTAAATGGTTTCGAATTTTACTTTCCATGAATCTGTTAAGCTGAAAGAAGCTGATACTGCTTCTAGGTTTGGGCCTATACTGCACATTTCATCATGTTTGACTTTAGTGCTTTTATGGTTTTTGTACTTAGATCTTCATTGAGTTTTTATTCAAAACATTTTGTACAAAGAGTGAAATGGAAGTTTGTTCTACAATCACTGATAAAGAACTCTCCTCCTCTAATCTGAAAATGCCTGTTACCATGTTCCACATTCCCATAAACATTTGGCTGTCTAGATCCTTTTGTTCACCTTTAACTTCTATTCACCAGACCTGTGCTGATTTATTGCCTGTAGGGCCAGTCCTCCCTTACAACTAAACATTTTCCCCCACCTCTTTTTGAATTATTTTCTCCTTGCAAATAATTAGCACATATATGACACTTGTTATATTCTAAGTCCTAAAATTTTATGCAGTTAATGTTTCTGACCACCTTACCAAGTATTATCCTCTTTGTGGAAGAGACATCTGACAGAGGGTAGGTACACTTGTATTACCTTGTCCGAGGATGTAGTTAATAAGCAGAATGCTGGAATGGGAGCTCAGTAAGGTCTTCTAATAAGCCTCTTATTCTTGTGACTTAATTTTAAAAAAGGTAAAAAAAAAAAATCCTGTTAATGAGGAAGAAAAGGTATTCTGTACCAGTTTTAGATCACTTTCAGATAAACAACCTTGATACTGTTCATCCATTAAGGATTTTCTGAACTGAACATTTAATGACCTGGTGTACTAAACACTTATAGGAGCTCTTCCTGTGAAGAGTGGAGAAACATAAACAAGGTATCTCATTAGTGATTGCAGTAGGGACCATGTCCTGAAGTCTTGTATACTATTAAGGAGATGGTACTTCACCCTAAAGGCAGTGAGAAACTAGTGAAGAGCTTTTAGGTGGGAAGTCTTGTGATTAGATGTGTTTTGCATCACCCCTTTGGCTGCACTGTGGTCCCCACAATGGAAGAACAGGAGTCTAGAGGGTGGAAGACCAGCTCAGGGCAGGTGGATGAGGGCTGGACCTAGAATGTGGTTTGGGGACAGAGATAAATAATATATGCAGAGATTTTAAGAAAGGCCTAAATGACTGGACTTGATGACTTAAGGGATGTATAGAAGGAGGGAACAATCTGAATTTCCATTTTTTCATAGGGCAGATGGGTAGATGCTGAAATAGTCACGAAGACAACAAAGGAAAGTGGGTTTGGGGCAAATAAATTTTAGGTTTCAGTTTGAAGTCTCTGGACTAACCTTGAGATATATAATTGGCAGCTAGATATACAATGCCCAGCACTGAGGTATGTAGGGAGAGAAAACGCAAGAAAAAAAAAAGGGGGGGGAGTGTCTGTAGTTTAGGAGACATGTCTAAGCTTGGGATGAAAAATTCATTAACCTACAGCTGCCACTTACTCCTGCATATAGATGAGGTGGTACAGGGTGTATGCAGAGTCTGGTTAAGGGTAGAAGAGGAAACATAGAGCAAAGGGCAAAAAAGGCAGTTCTCCAAAGAGACCAAGAGCCAGACAGGAAGAAAACCAGGAAAAAGTGATCAACTACTTATGGTTTCCTCTAGGGAAAGGAATGACAAGGTTAAACATCTAACATTCTTTAAACACTAGCTTTAGGCCAGTATCTTTAACCCATGCCACCTAATTAGCCCCCAAGTACTAAGAAGCATGAATTACCCCATTTTATACAGGTCTGCTGCGAAGGATTAGCTTCGGAATGGAAAAACTCCTGCTCTTCGGAGTAAACTAGAAGAGGGAAGAGGTAAAAGCATGAACAGGGAATTGGAGGTCATGTTTGAGGGCCTGTTTTCTTTGTTCTCATTTTACAGTTGCACTTCACACACTCAGGACTCCAGGAAGGTACTGACAAAGTGGGAGCTGCCCTGAGCAGAGACACGCCCACCTACTGACACCTGTGGCAGAGACTCTAGGCCAGGGCCAGGGCCAGTTCATTTCAGCCCCCTAATCTGGAACCTCATATATGCCTCGGCATTTTTTCAGTATTTCATAACCTCATTTATTTTCAGTTCAACATGTATTTTGAATACTGGCTTTGTACAAGGGAACCATGTTAGAGAGGAATATAAGTCAGACTGTGTTTCAGAGTGTAATGTAGTGTGGGGCCACAGAGACATGGACTGGTGGTCCTGTTAGGACTGCTTCTGGCCACAAGTAATAGGAAACAATGTCAACATTGGGTTTGGCAAGACAGGTTTGCTTTCAGGAAATGACAGCAGGACCCAGGCCCCTTATCCTCGCAGCCTCAAAATATAGCTTCTACTTCCTGTTCTCAGGTGGTGGATCCTGCTCTCGTCTGTAAGGGCAGCATACTAGAGTGTAAAGGAGATAAAGGGACAGAAAAGGGCCCTACTCCAGGCTCGCCCTTCATTGAAGGACTTCTCAGACATTACACGTACACTTTTATTCATATCCCATGGAAAGGGGGGAATCGTGATTTCCCCCTTGTCCTTCCAAGTGCTCAATCTGTAACTAAAAAAAGAAAAAAAAGTCCAGTTTCTGCTGTTGATGCTGAAACATGCAGGTTGCAATGGTGCAGGACTAAATGTATGAGTTATTCTTGCAAGCTATGACCTTAGGTTACTTCTGTGTCTCAGTTGCTTAGCTTAGAAAACTGCGGGTAACTGTAGCACGTAACCTAAAGGTTTGCCTGTTACATACATACATGACAATAACATATAAATATTAAATTACATTAAAAGTTTTATATGTAAAATTGTAGATCAGTGCCTGGTATTCACTAAGTACAATATTAGGCCTGTTAAAGCAGAAGTAAACAATCAAATGGAAATAGTTAAGAGTATACATCGGTGGAGAAAATCTGGGGAAGTTTTTTTTTTTAAGAACTGCAGGCTGGGCCCTCCCTGGTGGTGCAGTGGGTTGAAGTGCAGCACTACAAAGCTAGTTTCACAGCAGCTTCAACATGAGTTTGATCCCCAGCCAGGGAGGTGACCCACATGGTGCAGCAGACCTCACCTGTCCTGCCCAGATTCCCTCAGCAGTGTTTCCGTAAATCTGCCCATTCTGTTCCCCACTCAGTCTCTGGTGAATCCTCACCCCCTGTACCTCTGTTCTCGTGTGCATAAATACTGAAGAAAAAAAAAAGAAATGCAGGCTGTCAACTCCGTGATGCCTAGAGCAACCTCATTCCTTCCCTGAGCACCCCCTGCACCTGCACAGTGCCTCACAGATTAGAGGCTCCAAGTACTGGTTGCTGAATAGACTTGAAAGGGTAACAGTATTTGTTGGGTGGAATGGAGGCAAAGAAGGTATTTTAGGTGGTTAACCACACAAACAAAGACAAAATCGGCAAAAGCACACTCCCTGGCACAGTAGCAGGCATGCACCCAGTGTCTGTTCAATCTCAACTAGTTTGGTTTGTTTAGAATGTTTGAGGTGCAGCAGGAAAACTCATTACTGGGAATTCACTGCACAAATAACAGAAATGCTGAAAACATAGGGGAGAGACCAGAAGGTAGTGTCACATAAGATTCCCTGTTGTGAGGAGCTGACATCAGGAAAATACGCATTGCATGTGGGTAGTTGAGATTCAAGTAGCAAGTTTCTGCAGATGATGGGTCACAAGTAAGGCAGCCTTAGGTGGCTTTGGCTGGCTGAGTGAAGTAGATATAAGCTACTGAGCATAGGTATGGGGTAGGGGACCCCCTGGGAAGATGAAGTGCACTATATTTCTGTAAGCAACTTGGGTATAGGGGTTCCTTCCTTCAATGTTGTACCCTGGGGCTTAAATAATGCATAAGAATGCATTTTGTAGTGATGACTTGCAGAATGAATGAATTCAGTGGGGAGAAACCAGAATTTAAAGGGTTGTGACAGCAGTGAAATTCAGCCCAGAGACAGCTGCAGGGTACTTTGCCAAATCTCAGGACAGATTAAAAACATGGGTATTTCCCTGGCTAGGATTGGCAGTTGAGACTAAAAGACTATAGAGCCTAGGTCTCCCACCCACAAAGATTGTAAATTCATGATCTGAAATGTTTTAACCACTCTACCAATTTTCCACCCCCATCTGGATACATTTTCCTCCCTAATAGTAACCCAATTTGAAGGCAGTTTTGTATACTTAAAGGAATCCAGGTATTTTCTGGTAACCATGAAGCCTTAATAATCCCAATAGGTAAAGTGAGTTTAGTAACACAAACCAGCTATTAAACCTGTTTCTCAATGTACTGCTTAAAAAGCAAGACAAATAAATTCATTATTGAATATATTCAGTTATCTGCAAAGTCCAGGAACATTCAGAAACTTTCTTCTGGACAGTTTCTACCTTCTCCCCTTCAATTTTGTTGATTTTGAAGATTAAAAAAAATGTGGAGATCACCTTAAAATGAAGATGGTAATGTATTACTAGTTCTAATACCTTAAATGTTAATAGAGGTAATTAAAAAAAATTTTTTTTGTTAAATGATGTCATTTAATTTCACTGAATAAGGTTATTTTACCTTTGTTAAACCTCTAGCTCCAAGTTATTTAAGTAACTTACAAAATAACAAAAAATAAATCTAGAACCAAAAAATGTATGGATGTTAAAATACTCAGAACACCCATGAGAATCTCTGAGTTAAAGAAAAGGCTGGATTTGGATTTAGTACTCTTTTCCCATCACTGCATTGCAAGCCAGAAAGCTCTAGTGCTGCTCTTTGAGGCAAAGGTTATAGGTCACTAATCTCTTTATACCTATAATACACACTATGTTCTTGCAAATACTTGTCATAACTGCAGTTTTGCATTTCTGAGTAATTCAACCTGTTCGTAACTCAGAAATCATCATGAAAATGATACAGCAGATAAATTGATTCACATCTTAAGTGACCGAGAAAATCTCGGTCAGTCCTCAGTTCTCCGTGTGTGAAGAGGAACATCATACTGAATGACAACTCTGAATACTAAGTTGAAGGAATGTTTTGCAAACGGTACCTCCTCCTGGAAGAATGCACGAAGAGTTAAATTGACTGTTACCCTTGTTTTAATATTTCACACTTTCATAGAGGGTCCTTACCTTACCCAGCAGGCAAAACAAGTCTTGGAATAAAAGTTTTTCTATAAAAGAACAGATGCATCCACTCCCCTTGGTCCTGTGGATGTTACTGTCAGTTCTATTACTAGGTGTTTACGATCCCAAGGATTAAGTATGAAACACAAGATTTCACATTTACTGCATCTTAAAGCAAGTAGCACTGTGGGTAGTAGAGGTCCCATGTACAACATAAAGGGTGTAACAACCCACCAAAATGCATTAATATATGACCAACACTCTGGACCTTGAGTGCCATAAGCGGCTTAACCAGCATAGATGCTTATGTCATGGAGATAATTTTACTTCACTTGGAACACAACAGTGACATTAGACAAACCAAGTGTTCCTCTGCTTCAGCTGCCAAGGATGGAAAACATTGCTTCAGTCCTTTTTATAGCTTCATTAAGTTCTTTGTATGCCAACATGGGCTCTGGCAGCACTTGCTATATCATTCCTTTAGTTTCAATTGTGACTTTTCCCCTGGCAACAGCTTTCTGTACCCCAGCTTCACCCATTTTCTGGATCTTGATTTGCAGATGACAAACTGCCATTTCGTCTACCATCACCCCCAAAACACATATCCCTATATATTGTTTATATCTCTTTGATCATAGTAAATTTTTTGAATGTTAGCGAACACTAATACTTCTGTGACAGACACACCTGTTTTATTCCAACAGGCATGTCATTTATTCTCAAATTTAAAAATTTTTTCCAAATAAGAGTCCTATATTAACAGGTCTAGTAAGGTAATTTATGTGACGCTGCAAGTTTTAAAAGCATCTTTTAGTAAATAAATAAAGGAGAAATATTGTGATTTGGTGCATCTTAATTACGGAACTTCTTCTTTTTTCGAAATTTCTTCCCTGCTGCATTTGCTGCTTTTTCGGCCATGATTTCTGAGTACTTCCTTCGGTTATATCTAATAAAAGAAAAACAATACTTTTAAGTTCATATGTGTGACACACATCAGTAGTCTTTGGGTAAAGTTCTATAGGGATGTGATTTCCAAAGAAAGAGTATTAAGTGAGAAAAGAGTATCACTTCTTTAAATAATGTTGACCAACACCCATTAAAAGTGTTAAGTCACAAGTTAAATTTGTTTCCATGCCTGTGTCCTTTACCGTTTTAGAAATCCCTGATAAATGTTTTCACTTTTGCTATTAAACCAATCTGGAGTCCAGCAGAGGTTTCTATTAGGTATGTTTTTAGTCTCTTATGATATATACAATTTCTTTAAGGCAATCAAAACAAATGCAGATTGCTTCCACCTTAAAAAACCCTTGAACTCCACGTCCACTAGCTCAGACACTTCCTTCATTTTTAATAACCAAACTTCTCCACTTATTTTCACCTTCAACTCACTCTGGTCCTCTCCAGTCTTGCTTCCTAAAAGTACTGCCAATGTTACTGTGACTACAACATAACCAAATCCAAAGGGAGTCTTCTCTTATCTAACCTCTCAGCAGCATTTATTCCTATTAACTACTCTTGCTTATAGTATGTTCTTCCACTGACATGTGACACTGCTCTCCCGGTTTCTTAGTGACCCCTTGGCTATTCTTTTCTAGTCTTCTCTATAGGCTCATCATCCATCAGCCAGTTAAAAACTTTCTCTCTAAAGCAGTGGCTCTAACCTGGGACTGTGAGCTGTCACAGGGACATAGAGCTGTCTGAACACATTTTTGACTGTTAAGAATAGTGGAGAGAAGGGTACTCTGGGCATAGAGTGATGAGAGGCCAGGACCAGGATTAGTGTTAAAAAACCTACAACGCACACAGTCCCTACCAATAAATTACCATATCCAAAATGTAGACAGTTCTACTATTAAGAAACTGAAAAAACATTTACAATGTATTTTAAAATTTATGCACTAGTCTGAAGACAAGCATCCATATTATACAGCGAAACAAATTTGGTTACCTTCTGAACTCAGAGTCAGCCAGCAGTTCATCCACAATAGTTCTTTTCCTTTGTTTCTTCGGAATTCGTGAATGGTAGAAGTCAGCAGGATTGTCAACAATGGTTCCAATCTATGAACAATCAATTGAAATAAGTCATGCAATAACTTGTTTTCATCTTTCAGGGTAGCTTTAACAAGCAAAGCACATTTATAGGAAGTAATGCAAAATACAAGTCTACATGTAAGTTAGTTCTGATCCTTTTTAAGCAAAAACCAGCCAACTAATTCATCTGGCATACTGGTCCTAATAAACACTTCTTTATTAGTGCTTATAACAGTTCCAAAATTCCACTTAGGTAATTTAGATTTCTGATGAACAGTGTGAGCAGAAATAAAAGTGGGACAGATAATATAAACTCTTTTCTTAAATATATCTCCCAATTCAATGAAATGGAGACATAATTTCTACCTCATACCTAATCCAATCTCTTAGGTTTTCATAAATGCTGTCAACTTAGAACCTACTTAGCAATCACTCTGCATGTGTTCGTATCTCCAAGTAAAAGCTAGTGTCTGCTACATGCCAGGTACCAGGCTAGAAGTTAGGGAAGCAAAGGCAAGGAATCCAGTTTTAACGGAGAGCCACAAATAGGCTAACTAAAAAATTAAAGCTTAACACAATGTTATGCTGAACAAAATACTATAGATACTTTGCAGACTAAATGACCAGTGCTGTTTAAAAGGAGGGTAAGAAAACTTTGCAGAATATGACATTTTAATTTCCATTAGTATGGTAATAGCAAAGTTTTACCATAAACTTTACCACGAACAAGGCAAAGCCAAGCATATGCAAAGTCAGAATGCCAAGAGTAACCCATATATTCTAAGAATGAGCAGATGATGTTTAAGAATGCTGTAATAAAAGGGTTGGTGAACACAGACTGTGAAGGGCCACACTAGGGGTACAGACAATCCTACAGGTCATAAAGAATCACTGAAGAGATAGATGGCTGAATACCTGTGACATCACTAAACTGAGATGTAACATGAACAGATCTAAAAAAAAAAAAAAGGCTTCAATAGGGAGGATGGACAAGCAGGGAGAAGAGACCTGGAGCAATCCAGCTGAGTGTCAAGAACAAAATGAACCTGGGAACTATCAGAGGATGAATCACATGCGCTTTCATCTGAAAATACTTTGACCACCAACTTTTAACTTCATTTCAGAATTAAACAGCAGGTGCCCCTCTACCATCCCTCTTCCTTCCTCTACCCTGCAGCGTCTTGCTACCAGGCTAATAATTGTTCGTGCAGGATACACCCATCTTAAAGGTTACATAATTTTTAGAGCGTTGACCTGGACCCCAGTGACCTTGTGTAACCCCAGCTTTCTATATGGAAAGTCTGTCTGAACTGGGTTCTGGCTATTGTTACAAGACATAATCAGACGCACGAATTGTAAATGTCACCTATTTCAAGAGTAAACACAAAGTACTTCCCAAAACCCACAGAATGTCACCACAATTATTCTGTCTGCTTCATACCTGGAAGTACTTGGGGAAGCCATCCCTATCATTTTTCTTGTAAAACCTTTTTGGGTCCATGCTGGCTCTCATCTTCAGTGCTTTGAGGTCGTTTTTTAGTTCATCTGTCAATTCTGGAGCTTTCATACCAAACCAACCATCACCTGCTGTTTTTTGGCGCTCTTTCTGAAATTCAGGTATCAAAAATAAGTAACCACTCTAATACACAGATTAGACAAAATACCTCATTCTCTCAAAGTCCTACATACAGAAAATTTCATTAATGAAAAACAAGTTAAGTTCTTTGTTTTACAGGATGGATTTATCTTCAGGTTCACCTTTTGTAAAAGGAAAAAAAAATTACAAAAAAATTATTTCTCTGGTTAGGCAGGCCTAGAATCATCAATTCATAAATGACGGTTACTTGAAATTTACCTTATCTCATAGTAAGAACTATAGATTGTGAGAATCTTCAATTTTTATTGCATAAAATAGTCTATGTAAGAGATAATGTATAAAAACATTTTCAATTCTGGGATTCTTCTGTAAGCGTTAAGTTTTAAAACAGGTGTCTTAGACCTCCCTTGAAATTAGTGTATTTCTAAAATAAAATCACTTATTTTAAAAACTCCTAACAAGTTATTTGCTTAATTTTATTTTTTGTTCCATTCACACAGCAAGCATTATCAAGTGCCTACCATGTGCCAGTGACAAGACATTACTAGAGCACCATTTTCCAATTTTCTCCAAGTCCTCTTGATAGTCTTTATGGTTATTATTTGAAATGACAAATGGAAGCAACCCCAAATTTTTTACTAAAGAAAATAGTTTCTCTCTTCTCATCTCCAAGACTAAACAGACTGGGGATTTTTATTCGCTGGTACACAAAGTTCCCAGAACAGCCTGCAACAGAGCCCCTGGTCTTCAGTGAGGTGTCAACAAGCCAGGAGGCCCACAGTGACCCTTCTAAGTTGGCTGTCACTGTTCTCACTATAAGAGAAAAAGCTCTATGTGCAATACTTTGTAGACATCGGCTTTGTGAAAATTCACGTAAAGTGTGGTTAAGAACCCATGTTTTATGGGTCCTTAGATATCTGCAATAACTGTTTGGATATATATGTATTTGAATTACACAAGTATATTAGTCAAACAATCTAAACATTCTAAGCAATCAGTCATAGTACTTACTCTGCGTTTTTTCTGAAGTTGATACTTGGATTCACGATAGGGCGGGACACAGTCATTTTTTTCAAAATCCGGAGTAATGATGGATTTCTGCAGTAGCTATTAAAATAATGTCATACAAGTCTTCAATACTTTTGCCTTCTATAAGAATTACCTCTTACTGAGGATTACTCTAAATATATTAGCTTTCTTCATGTACAGACATAAAATGCAAGTTGTTCCTGCCCTTAAATTTGTAAGTTATAGCACAATAAAAATGTTTTAGGGGGTAAGTTGAAGGATTTTTTTAGGAAATCTACAAAACCAATATTCATCTCAAAATTTTCCTAAATACAATCTACAAAGTGGAACATTAGATTTACATTTGACTAGACTTAAAATTTTTTTTAGCATAGAACAGGGGTGTATGCCAGTGATGCAAGGGGTGAGAGAATTCACCAGAGAAATACACTACTAAGGGAAACTGTGGGGGAGATATGAGAGGTCTGCTGCGCCACAAGTGGGTCGGCTGCCTGGCCCAGGGTTGAACTCAGGCTGTCGTGTGATAGTGCTGAACTTAGACCTCTGTGCTACCAGAGAGACCCGGTAATAGACTATTAACAAGAGAAGCAACTTAAGATTTTGTTTAGGCATACTTTGTATGAAATATGACTGAGATCATCCTATCTAGACAAATCTTTCACAGGATTTTTTAGATTATTTTTCAGTGTCAATTCATATAAAGATCAGTTTCATTCTTTTTAATAGTTGTTATGCACAAGTTCCCCCATACAAAATTAACAGTGTCCATCTTTTTTCCCACTAAACATTAGAAAACTCATTTCTGGCAATCGTGATTATTTCCTTAAAATAGATTCCAAAATGTGCAGTTTAAATTCTGATAGGTACTGCCAGAGTACTTTTCATTCAAACAGCATAAACTCTTACCAAGAATTAATCAATGGCCTTTTTCTTTACATCATCAGCAACACTGGGTATTATCTTCTTGTATGTTGTCAAAGGGAGTTTTATGGCTGTTTTTATTTGCTGTTGCAATCATTTTTTAATTTATTTTTAGCCATGTATATTTCTGTTAACTGCCTGTACTTTCCTGCATTGTTTTCGTTTTTATATAGGGCTATTTTCTTTTTTCCTTTCTTTTTTACGATTTATTTATTCATACAGGAACTGGGGTATAGGCCAGAGGTGCAGGGGCAGTGAGAAGATTCACCAGAGACAGAGTGGGGAGCAGAACAGGCTGGCTGACAAGTACACTGCTGAGGGGAGCAGTGGGTAATACAGGAGAGGTCTGCCACACCACATGGGTCATCTCCAGGGCCAGGGATTAAACTTGCCCTGAAGTGACTGCAGCCAGCTTGCAGAGCTATGTCCTAACTTGTTGTGCCATCAGGGAGGGACCTATATAGGGCTACTTTCTAATTCATTTGTAAAAATGTACTTTTTATTTTAGTGGTAGCAACCAATGGTCTTTTACTTTCTTTGTTAAAGTGTTTTTTAGTCGTTAAAGTTTTAAGCTTTGCAGGCCCTCCCTGGTGGCGCAGTGGGTTAAAGCACAGCACTGAGAAGCAAAGCCACTACTGCATGAGTTCGACCCCTGCCTGCCCCGGAGGTGACCACATGGCACGGCAGACCTCTCCTAACCAGCCCGCTGCTCCCCTCAGCAGTGTATCTTGTCCATCGGCCTGTTCTGCTCCCCACTCTGTTCTGGTGAATCCTCTCACCACCCCTGCACCTCTGGCCTGTACCCCAGTTCTATATGCATAAATAAATAAATTTAAAAAAAAAAATTAAGCTTTGCGGTCAAATCTGTTTCTCTTTTCCTAAATGAATGTTGCATATTTTAGTAACTATCCAAGATGGTTAAATATTCCAATACTGTTGGCCCTCCCTGGCGGCTCAGCGGGTTAAAGCACAGCACTAAGAAGCTCAAGCCACTTCCTCATGAGTTCGATCCCCGCCTGCCCCGGAGG